TATTATTATTATTATTATTATTATTATTATTATTATTATTATTATTAATTTATTATTTATTAATTATTTAATGGGGACAATAGGACAGGGACGGTAGGCAGGATTGTGCACTTTTGCACACCCGTTAGAGACCTCTTAGGAACGGGGAGAGGTCAGTAGTGGAGAGTTTGAGGTGAAAGGAGTGGGGGTTAGAGGATGTAACAACAGAGTCAGGTAGTGCATTCCAGCATTGACCGCTCTGTTGCTGAAGTCATACTTCATAATACATAATAGAAATAGTCTAAAGGACCAGATGCCGGGCAACTTTTAATTTATTGCGGCTCAGTGATTAAACCATCAAAACAATCCACTTGTGTCCACTTGTTTCAACTGCATGCTGAGAAGATGCGAGGAAGTGAGCGAAATAAGAGCATCCCTCCCGATGTACTCAACTTGGGGCTGGGAAAGAAAGAGGCTCAAAATAGCCCTTGAACTCGCCACCGGGTGGCAAAACACACCCTTTCAAACAAAAGTTAAGGGAACTGGTGGCAGCCCTTAGTTTGGCATTTGCCAGCTCCCAATGATTCCAGAGCTGGGAGCCTGGGATTTAGTCCACACGTCCCTAATTAAAATAGGGGATTTTGTCCATAGAGTCTCAAAGCTTGCAAAACTCCAAATCCTTCAGTACTTAAGGAAGCTGGATGCCTTTTTCTCCCTCCACACAATCAAATCATATCCAGTGCGGCGCTTCCTTGTCCTAGCAGGTGCGCCCAGGTTTGTTGGACCACATCTCCCAGAATCCCTAGCGTGGCCGCCCAGGGGCTGGGAATTCTGGGAGGCGCTGGGCAACCTGCGGGAGTCTCCCCATCCTTCCCGCCCGAAGCAGCCCAGGATGCCGGGATGTGTTATCAAGGCACACCTGGAGGGCCATCCTCCCTCCGTGCTCCCGCCTCCCCGGAAGGGTCCGTTTTGGAGTAGCGACGCTCTTTCCCCTCTGGGAGGAGCGAGCTGAGCCTCCCCCGGTGCTTTCCCATTCGTTTCCGGGTGGCGCTTCACTCCGGGCAAGAGCGCCCTTCCGGTCCCTCCAGCGCGAGGGGGGGAAGCAGAAGAAGGCGTTTCCGCTCAGGCGCACATCCGGGTTCCTTTGTCCCCGGGGTCGCAGCCGGGCGCCCTCCCCGCCGCCTCAGGTGGGTCCGCCTCCCGCCCCCCCTGGGGGTGAAGCTGCCCTGCAGGGCCTGGGACCAGGGGGAGGCTTGGGGCCTCTTCCCTTCTCCTTCCCTGCCAGTAAAGCAGCAGCAGGAGGAGGAACCTTTGGGAGGCTTTTTAGCCAGAACTGGGCAAAGTGGGTGAAATGGGGATTTCTGCTCTACTTCCTGAGGGTTTGGGTGGGACTTTTGGAAGCTTCCAGTCGGTTTTAGTGGTGCAAATTTCTCATATTAAAGGAACAAAACGTAAGTCCTGCAGTTGTTGTGAACTGTGATTAAGAGATTGATGCCAAGGGGCTAAATGAGCCGGGAATTCAAGAGCACTCGTGTTTAAGGCACCTTTTTCTTTTACCACTGCCCTTCAGATATGGGTTTCAACTCTTATGATAGCCAAATGAGATAATATATTGGAAAGACTGGTTTAAAGTAGGTTTATTTTTATTTATTTGTTCATTTAATCACACCTTTATTATTTTTACAAACGCAGGTAGTCCTTGGCTTATGACCACAGTGACCCCAAAATTGTCCATGGCATTTAGAGCCAGTGTTAAAGAGCCGGTGCAGAGGGCATTAAGTGGAGCTGATTGACTAGGAAGTGGGTAAAGGCTTGAGGTCCTCTCCACCTAAAAGAGCCCCCTGGATGGTTCAGAGTTCCAAAGAACGATAAGGAAAGTGAACTAGGCTCATGCAAAGGTACCACTTGCAGCGTTAGGGAACATGTCAGATCCGTGTATCTGTCATTTCTTCAGTGGAAGAAGAAAGGGGGGGGGAGGCTGATAAAGAAATCCTTTCTTGATGTAACCTGAATATATTTAATCTTATATCGAATTTGTATAACCCACACATGATACAATGGAGGGAGAAAAGCCAGATGGCCAGAACTATCACCTCTGAGAGGCACAACTAGGAGATGAGAAGGTCATAAAAATTCCACAGTGAGATTGTACTTTGGAAACCCTTGAATAGTTGGTTCTAACAAGAGGGGTGGGGAGGAATTAACATACTGGCTTTTGTTTCACTAAATACACATCAAGATAAGGGGAGGGGTTCTAAACTCCCTTATATATCCCTGTATGCCTGAGAGGCCTCAGACGCTGCTTTGAACTCCTACAGGAATGGTCTCATCTCAATAAAGAATTCCTTTGTGATACGTTTGGATACGTTTTCAGAAGTTCATTCTAGTTGAGTGAATGGGAAAAGTTCTGTAGCCTGACAGAACGTACTGGTTGACCTCGGACAGCGTGGTCATTATCAGAGTAGTCATTTGAGCTTATTCTAGGCCAAGTAATTCCAGTGCTTTTCTCTGCTTTTAGGGAGGAGAGAAGCAGCGTGTTTTTACTGGCATTGTCACCAGTCTCCATGATTATTTTGGCGTGGTGGATGATGAAATTTTTTTCCAGTTAAGGTGAGTAGAATGGGAGCAGCAGAGACAGAAGCGGGCCTCAAATGGCTGCTCGAGGACAGTGTAATGTTGCCACTCTTCAGCCTTACGTGAGCCTTGGAAGGAGCAGTAAAGGGGCTGCGTCTCAGGTCTGAGGATCACCTACTCCTGGCTGCTTATAGCTGTTGCTTCTGCTGTTGGAATTGGGTGTAATCTACTACAGATCGTTATACGTCCTGCTAGAAAAATGCAAGTATTCTAGGAAAAAAGGTTTCTAGCTAAGCTTTTCCTGTGCCAGCTTCTACTTGCAAAGTAGCTGGCTGGCTGCATATGCTACATTAGAAACGAATGTTCTGCTAACCCAGTTTGCCTAAGCAGTGGGAAGTTTTTATGCCATTTTCTTCATTTACAAAGAGCCATACGCATATACAGGTAGTTCTCAACTTACAACAGTTCATTCAGTGACTGCTCAAAGTTACAATGGCACCGGAAAAAGCAACTTATGACCGTTTTTCAGAGTTACGACTTTCAAATTCAAATGCTGGGCAACTGACTCCTATTTATGACGGCTGAAGTATTCCGGGGTCATGTGATCCTCTTTTGTGATGTTCTGAAGAGCCATGTCAATGGGGTTCACTTAAACACGATGGCTCACTTAACAACTGTAGCAGGAAACGTCGTAAAATGGGGTGGGGACTCACTTAACAAATATTTCACTTAGCAACGTAAATCTTAGGCCCAATTGTGGTTGTAACTCGACAGCTACCTATATATGGCCCTTTTGCGGTGTCCTTTTCTTCAAAATACAGTACATACCTTTGCAGTATCACCCTGTAGGTTCACACCATGATACGTTAGTAATAAGGTATAATTGTTTTGTCTTGTTTTTAGACAAAGATGTATAGGAAGAGCTCAGACCCATTGCAAGTACAGGTAGTCCTCGACTTACAACAGTTCGTTTAGTGACTGTTCAAAGTTACAACGGCACTGGATAACGTGACTTGCAACCATTTTTCACACTTATGGCCTTGTAGCATCCTTGTGGTCACATGATCAAAATTCAGATGCTTGGCAACTGATTCATATTTATAACGGTTGCAGTATCCCAGGGTGATGTGATTCCCCTTTTTGTGACCTTCTGACAAGCAAAGCCCATGGGGAAGCTGGATTCGTTTAACAACTGTGTGACTAATTTAAACAATTGCAGTGATTAACTCAACAGATGTGACAAGGAAAGTTGTAAAATGAGGCAAAATTCACTTTAGGAAATTCCTCACTTAGCAGCATAAATTTTGGGGGTCGTTTGTGGTCATAAGTTGAGGATTACCTGTACTCCGAGTTATAATTCGTCAGTCTTTGCTTGTCATGCTAACTACTGTAGATTCATGGTGGGTTGTATCCTTGTACTACAAGTTCTGGGAGTTGTCCCTTTGGCCTGTCTTGGACCCCAGAATCTGTTATGACACTTTTAGCTACAATCAATTTAGGTGTCATGCCCGTCAGAGTCTGAATCCGAGGAGGAAGATGAACAGCTGATGGAGCAGGAGTGTAGCTCTGTTGGCTGTGGAGGAGGCTGGGGAAAGGTCCAGCTGGGCAGAGCAGGAGAGAGGTAGAACAAGGGAGAGGGAGTTCAGCGGAAGACCCAGGTCCATCCTCTCTTCATCCTAGGGCACGCAGGGAGGAATGGAGAAGAGAGCAACATGGGTTGTGTGGCTTACGGGGGAAGAAAAGGCCCTGATTCCCTTCATTAGCCACAGCTGGGAAGGCAATTTAAAAGAAATGCACGCTGACTGTGGCAGCTGCTGGGAGCAAACATGAGTTTATCTGACTTTGCTTATCTGTGTTCCTGGCATCTTCCCAACCATGTTATTGCCATGCCTTCATGTCTGGAATTCTTGTTCCTGCCCTTTGAACTAATTACCTCATTTTGCCTTGATTGGATTTACAGTTACAGTTTTTGTTGACCATGTTTTAGACTTGATTCTCTGCAGCCAAAGGCTGTTCCTGGGAGAGTTTTTCTCCAGCCAGAAGGGAACCAGAACATTGGGGGCAAAGTTGGAGCTAATAAAGGGACTCTTATTGATTATCTGACTGTGTTGCCTTTGTGCCACGCCCCTTTGGGTCATCACATTAGGTGAGAGTGAAAAAAAGACCTTGGAGAAAACATTAGGAGCAATAACACCACCACTCGCTGTACATAGTGCAATTGGCACAACGGAAAACCACAATGTGTTGAACCAGCATAAGAGTAGCTGTTTTCCAAGAACTGTTTTGAATAGCTGACTGCCTCTAGAAATGGCATTCGGCCACCAGGGAGAGGCCAACTCTTGTATGTATCCAATCAAAGGAGATGCAACCTCAAAGCCCCACTGAACTCCTGTTATGAAAATGAGGACATCCGTGGCAGAAAGTGAACCTTGCAAACACAGGTGAGGTTCTCTCACTATTCAGGCAGGTAACAAAAAACAGCACTTACTGTGTTGAGCCTCGAACTGGCTAAATATTTGACTGAAGTCACCTCTCTAATATCCTCCCCCCCAAATAAAAAGAAAGCCAGCCTCTTCCTATCCTCCACACCCTGGGACATATATAATTATAAACACAGGTAGTCCTTGACTTACAACCGCTTGCTTAGTGACGGACTGAAGTTATAGCAGATATCTCCCACCCCCCCAAAAAAATACTTACAAACCAATTTCAAAGTTCTGACAGTCCCCTGATTGCATTTGGGGTGTTTGGCATAGCAACTGGCTTGCATCTATGATCGTTTGCAAAGTCCTGCGATCACACGACCACAATTTATGATGGGTTATGTCCGTTGGATACGAGTTTGAGTAACCATCACGGCGTTGAACAGCTGTTGCAAAAAAGGTAAAAATCTGCTGTGGTCATTTAGAGACCTACTTAACGACGGGCAGAACTTCCTACTGTGATTCCTGTCCCAATTATGGCTGTAAGTCAAGGACTACTTTTGTGCAAGTCCTTATTCTGACAAGACTGCTCACCCCTGCCTCAGGGACAGGGGAACAAACCATTGTGGGATTCAACCGGTTCGCAGCACTTCAGCTGAGCCAGTTGTTAAATTGCTGGCTGACCACGCTGGAGTCCTCACGCGCCCCATTTTGGCTCCCCATTTGGCCTACTAGGCCCAAAACCAGGTGCGGGTGTGTGTGCATTTTTGCACCCAGGGAGGTGCAGGAGGCCAAGTGCTACCTGTCACACACCCCTGGCCACACCCACCCAGCCGGTCATTAGGGCAGAGAACGGGTTGTTAAATTATTTGAATCCCACCACTGGGAACAACTACATGTCTCTTTCAATAAATATATCCACATTAATAAAGAGCATTCAGATGATCCTGCAAGCAGTTATTGCAGTAGCTTGCAGGCAAACCTATTTCATATGATTATTAAATTGAAAAGCTTTTTTTTAAAAAAAACAAACCCACTGGTCTGTGCTAGAAATTACAAAAACTCCTTCCTGACCTCAGAGGGAAGAGACAAAGAGCAAAGGCAGACGTGGGCCGATTGTTTTATCCATCCTTATACATATACATATATATATATTATATTTCACATAGAGATCTGGCTTAATATCTTAAGAGAAGCGTCACAGGGAAAGTCTACCATTCAGAGTTGAATCCACGCCGTCCAGGACCCCGGGAGATTCCAACTTCCCTTCAGTCTTAGATTTTGCATTTTGGGCAGAGGTGGTACTCAGCCGGTTGGCACCGGTTCTGGCGTACTGGTAGCAGAAAGCACTCTCTCATAGAACCAGTAGGAAGAAATGTGGAATCCCACCACTGATCTTGGGGCAGGGAGCGCTTGGCAACGGGGGCAAGACAGAAGTGCTTTCAGCCACAAAACCAAGTAGTCAAGAAACTCCCGTTGCTTCTGGGAGCTGCGGGACAACAAACCAGGATTAATACAAGCACGGCGATCGCTTCCCAGAGTGCAGGAACTAAGGCCTACTTGGCATCAAGCGGGAAGCCATCATTTCTGAAGCTGTCAAAGGACAAACGTCCTCGCCAGCGAACATTTGTTCCTTGAAGAAAGATGGCCCAAAACTATGGTAGTTAGAAAGAAAGAAAAGCCATTTGCCTTGAAGAATGCCCTCTCCCTCCCTCGACGCTTTCCCCAAAGATCCTTGCGTGACATTTTGAGTTGCGATGGTGGCCCTTGACGTCTTGCCCCCAAAACCCTCCTTTCCTGCAGATGTCTTTAAAGGGCTGAATCGTGTTTGGTGAGAAGTAGCTTTTGCGTAGATCCCTGCTGAAAATCTCCATCTGACTGCAACTCCTCTTCTTCAAGCCTCCCAAGCTCCGCTATCAATCTAAGACTGGGAATAGACGGCCACGACGGTGCCGCCCTCTGCTGGGCTCTGGTAGCGCTGGCGGGCGTGTTTCTCACAATACATCTCTTCCCCAACCCAGAAGTGGCCACGCATCTTCAGGTTGAGCCCACAGTCGGTGCAAACGTAGCAAGATGGGTGGCGGTAGCGGTTCTCTTGGATCTTCACAGCCTGGTATCTGGGGAAGATGGAGCAGAAGAGAAGTCCTGTGAGAAAAGAGGACTAAGCATCTACAAGCAGCAGGTGGTTCAATCTTGGCAAGATTTGTGGACTTCAACTTCCAGAAATTCCCAATCAGCAATCCACTAGTCGAAGTTCCACAAGTCTTAAATTTGCCTTGGTGGGACACCCCTGATCTACAACAAGCCAACCATCATCATCCAAGTGTCACCAACTCTCCGAAATGCTTGGTTTAACCAAGCATTCTTTAGTTTACTTTACTTTATTGTCATTGCATCTCGTACAACGAAATCAAACGCCATCTTCAGTGCACATCATGACCATGAAAATAAACACAAACGCACATCCTTCACCCTCCACACATTGAACCGAAAACCCCCAACACCACACCAACACTGCATTACACAGTATAATTCAAAAGAGCTACTGCCCTGGGATAGAAGCTGTTTTTCAGCCTATTTGTCCTTGTTTTTATTGTCCTGTACCATCTGCCAGATGGTAATAGTTCAAAAAAAGGGTGCCCAGGATGAGATGGATCTTTGAGAATGTTTTGAACTTTCTTAAGGCAGCGGGAGCTATAAAGCTCTTCTGAAGTGGGGAGAGGGCAACCAATATCTTCTGGGCAATGACCTTAACCCTCTGGTGCACTGTCCTATCTGCCCCAGTGCAATTGGCAAACCATACAGAGGTGCAGTAAGTTAAGATACTCTCTGTGGTGCAGTGGTAGAAGGTCCCTAGCAGTTTTCAATTCAGTTATTGTTTTTCTGAGAAGTCTCAGGTAGTCTAATCTCTGCTGGGCCCTTTTGACCAGGGCTGCAATGTGAGCCCCCCAGGTCAGGTCCTCTTTTAAGATAACACCCAGAAACTTAAAACTGGCCACTTGCTCCACTCGGTCTCCATTGATAAGCAAGGGCTGGATGTCTGATCTGTTCCTTCTATAGTCCACTATAAGCCTTGGAAAACAGGTTGATCCCCTTCTCTCTGGGGCAGCCCCTCAAATATTGGAAGACTGCTATCATGTCTCCCCTGGTCCTTCTCTTCACTGCAACCGTTCTTCGTATGTTTTAGCCTCCAGTCCCCTCATCATCCTGGTTGTTCTTCTCTGCACTCTTTCTAGAGTTTCAACCTCTTTATAATATGGTAACCAAAACTGGATGCAGTACTCCAGGTGTGGTCTTACCAAGGCTTTATAGAGTGGTATTAGTACCTCACTTGATCTTGATTGTATACATTGGTTGTAAGCGAAAGAACTGGTTGTAAAGTCACTTCCCCCCTCCCCAATGCAGCTGTGACTTCAAACAGTCATTAAATGAATGGTTGTAAGTCAAAGATGACATGTATTATCGAAGGGACCAATGCCTGACCTCTCATTTGGCTGCTCTTAGCATGGTTCATCTTCATCCACTCCTCTTTCCT